TCTCATAAAAAAATTGGTAAGAGTACAAAACTATAAATTTTTCATTTGACAGAGAGTACCTGGGATGCCTCTTATTCAGTGCCATCTAGGGAAGTATATCCCCAAATTCAGCCACCCAGGCACTCAAAGGCTACTGCAGCTATGGTCCAGAGGGCCCTGCCTACTGCTCAAGCTGGTGGCCAAACTTGGTATTATCTACTTGGTGCTAGTTTCTTAGGCATGGAGAATGTAAGAGTTACTGGGTTATGGAGGCTTCCACTCAGCTTTCAGAAGGCCTGAAAGGCCAGGCAAATATGTACAGCAGGGTCACAGTCCCTGTCAGGAGCCCATGAAAGGTCAGTGTACGAAACTGTGAGAGCAAAGCTGAAGGTACAGTGGAGACTCCAGGAAGTTGGAGATGCCAGGAATATGGAACATTTGCTGTGGAAAGCTCCAAGCAGTAAGCACAGCCAGTCCAAGAGAGAGTCCATGTGTGTTTCAACCAACAAGTCCATAGAGGCAGGGCTGCCCAAGCCCTTTGGAGTTCACATCTTATCCTAACTTGCCCTGGATCCTTGACATGGAGCTATAGGAATTAAAGTTTGCCCCACTGTTTTTTGGCCTTTCTTTGTTTTGATCCCTTTCTATTCTACTATTCCTCCCTTTGGCATGGGAATGTTTACCCTGTGCTATTATATATTAGAAATATTTAACTTTAAAAAATGTTTACAAGGGCTCACAGCTGTGAGTTTTCCTTCCATCTCAGGAGACTTTGGATTTGGGCTTTTCAGCAATGCTGCAACAGTTATGAATTTGGCATCTTAGAGATGTTCTGAATGTGTTTTCATAATGATATGGTTATGAGCCTTTTGAGAGCCAGGGGTTGAATGTTGTGGTATGGATCAAATATTTCCCTTAAAAATCTCATGTGTTTGGGAGTTGATTGGTCATGGGGATGCTATATTCATCAGCGGATTCATCAATAGCTGAATGTCCTATTAGGGATCTAGTTGGAGTTCATGCCATTAGGGCATGACTCACAAGTTTGTACTCCTGTTCCGGCTCCTCCTTTCCCTCTCTTCTTTCTGGCTTCATGATGTGACCAGCTTTTCTCTTACAGACACTTTTACTATGCTATTTCTGGAGCTGGCCAATATTGGAATGAGCTCACTAAAACTGTGAGTTAAAATAAATCTTTCCTTTAAATTGAAAGTGGCAGGTATTTTGTCCCAGTGACAAGAAACTGACTAATACAATAATAAAATAAGACTTATATGTCTTCATAGGTGTGCGTACACACACACACACATGTGTGCACATGCACATACACACACACGGTAAGCCACTCCCATTATCAGCAATTGCAATGTTTTACTTGCCAAGTCGCACAGCCATGTGTAACATCTGACATAGGTGGATTTCCATTTCCTCCTGTGTGTCAAATGCAGGAGGCAAAATCAGCACTTCACTGTGCCCTCTCCTACACAGTGTTCTGTTGTCACCAATGCAGCCTGTGCTCAAGTACTAAACTGTTAAGTCATGAAAATATCACTAAAAATCAGGTAATAATGTTGCAAATTTAAAATCTTATGGGGCCACTTATGAGTTGTCCAAGGCTGCACATGGCCCATGGGCCACAAGGTGAACACACCTATAAGCAATACCAATCAGAATGATCCCCCCATTTTGTAAACATTGCTCCCTTTTGCCACTACACTTCTATCCCCTGGATTGGAGGAGTTCATTCTCACCATGAAGGGAGGGGTGAGAAGAAAGTACAAATGATTAGTTGATAAGTAGTGGCCTAGCATTTTCTGCTCCAGCCCCACCGCTAGTCTTGAGAGTTAAGCTACGACAACAAAAAGGTTCTTTGAAGTCTCAGTAATATACCAACACTTTTACTGCTAGTTCAAGCTAGTTCTTGCTCTACCTAGATCTAGATGACATTTTTTGACCACCCCACATGTCTTTATACCTTGATGGTATCACTGCCCCTGCTCTTCCTTCCATCTCTGGCCCCACTTTCAATATCAGCTTCATCATCTGTATGTTTTCATGTGATTTTCCAAAGAGCAAGACCACACCATAAACATTACTACAGGTTAGATTAGCAAGAATCACCCCTCTTATTTGGTATAAATTACTTTGGTATAAACTACTTTCCTTTCTGTTTACAACCAAATTAGCACACAATGAGTTTGTCCTTGTCCATATTCTAGTCTAGCTCTTTCAGCCATTTGCTCTTGCTTGGCTTTGGCTCAGGCAATCCTGACCACTGAAATCCTAACACCTGTCTTTTGTTGTTTTGCTTAGAGGAACTCACCTTGAAGCCTGCCAGGTACCAGTGAACATCCCTACTCCTTCTTTTCCTTTCAGGGTCTTTACAGTCATACAGTAGGGGTGACTCTGGCAAGTCCCTGAACTCTCTGAGCTTTATTGCCTCATCTATAAAACAAGAATAATGAAATACCTATCTCATAAAGTGAGGGTTAAAAAATTCAGGTTTTGAGTGTCTGAAGCACTCCTTAAATATCGACATTGTGTGTGTGTGTGTGTGTGTGTTCTCCTAAGGGTCAGCCGAGTTTTACTCAATCATAGTATACTAGCAAGGCCTTTGTTTATGTAAACCACATGCACTGAAATAGAAATAACACTAAGCTTTGCTTAAGTCTGGAAAGATACTTCTCAACATTTTAAACATACACATATATATGTGTGATATATATGATAGCTGTATCACTGCTTTTTTACAGTACTTATTAAATATCTAAAATTTATCTTCAAGTTCTTATTCTTTGAGAAAAAACAAACCTAAAGGCAAAGATAATAATCTTTCTAAGTACATACAGAAAATACCATTCTCTGAGGTACTAAAATAGTTCTCAATTGCTAAACAATCGGCCTTTGAAGAGAGTTCTCAGCAAAGACATTAAATTGCCATCAAGGGTTTAGACATTTAACTTTCAAGAACTTTGATGGATGATGATCATTATTTTCAATATTGTGCATTTACCTAGCAGATCTACCCCCTAGAGCCAAAGGGCAGAGCAGAACCTAAAACTGGCCACAAATCATCTGAGTGCGGCCAGCCCTAGGTCCTGAGTACCAGGAGACCCTGTGGTGAGGTGGGACAGGTCCTCCTTCAGCTGAGTAGGCTGCTCAATACCAGGCAGGAGCCATGAGTCCAAAGCAGCAGTGAAAGAGCCTGGAAAAGCCAGCAAGACAACCTGCCACAAAGAACAGCCTGGCTGAGGCTCCAAGAGCAAAAGCCACTGTTTTTCCAGTTGTCTATCTGCTTCCTCCTCCCCTGTCAAGGGCTAAAGGGCTTTGCTGTAGCACTGTAGTGGATTCCCAGCAATGCTGAGGGCCTTCCCCTTCACGGGTATATAAAATGGGAGGTGAGTGCTTGAATTTCTTTCTAATTAAGCTGTGTAAAACAAGGCAAACCAGTTAGTATTCCCTTAGCTTTTTTATCTGTAAATACACAGTGCTAGGGTGGATCTCAGAGGATTGATCCTGCAGCTCAAAAGGACTATGTTTCTAAGGCAAGGACAAAGCAACAATGAAAAAAAGTCTAAGGGAATAAATTCTTGTAGCTGGGTGTGGTGACATACACCTGTAATCCCCGCACTCTGAGAGGCTGAGGCAGAAGGAGCCTGGTTTGAGCCCAGCCCAGGCAATTTAGCAACTTGCTGAGACCCTGTGGCAAAATTGAAAAATAAGTAAATCAAAGAAGCACTGAGGATATATCTCAGTGGAAAGGCCAGAGTTCAATGTCTGATACTGCAACAAATAAATATATCAACTCTCATTTACAAAACAGTCACCTCGTGGTTAGAATAATAGTGAAGAGAGTCCTTCCTGTGACAATTTCACAAGTTTAACCAATAAACTCAGCTTTATTCCACTCACCATCCTTGGCTCTATATGAAAAACAAAAGATAACTTACTGGTGATTCGATGTCCTCTAGGAGTAAAACAGAACAGCGTTCACATTTCAACAGAGTTTGGGCCCGATGCATTATTTTTTTGACAATTTTTTCCAGGTCTGTCTGTTCTTCAAAGAGGTCATTAACCACCTCTAACAAAGCCTGGGAAACAGGAGATGGATGTAGTTAGGTGGATATAAGATTGAAAAAAGTTGGTGTTTTTTGCCCTCAAAACTCCATGTAGTTTGTGCTCTAATACTATAAATACTTTGTGCAGATAATTTTTAAAGCATTCATGATTGTTTTAGCATAGTTCCATCATTTCATTTTATAACACACTCTTAAATTGTAAAATACAACTGCAGAATGGAGACCTTCCATATAGCAGGGACTGTGTGGTCCTTAGTTATAGGCTTTTATCCCTGATACAGTAACCTTCCTGCTATGTGACTAGTTACAGATCTAACATCTTATAAATAACAAATACTTAGTTTTCTTCAAAGAACATTTATTTCAGAAAACTACAAAGCACCCTTTCCTCACTATCAGGAAGAAATAGCTTCATGGTCACACCTGAGACTTTTTTTCACTAATATACGTCTCATGGAATTCTGAATCATGGAGGTGAATGCTAATTAAGGCTCAGAGCTTTCAAGAAATGTATAAGACTTGCATTAATCCCACTTTGCAAGGTGAAGAAATACTGCCTCACCCTCAACTGTCCAGAAAAACATTTATATACTACTGAAGCAACAGGTCAAAAAGCACACAAATTAAAGACAGAAACTTAAATTCTAACTTGAACACTGTGTACTCAGTTAAAAATTAAACTGCAACTATCTTCCACTTTCTCCAGCCAAGTGAGCTTGCAGCTTATGCTTTGATATAATATTTGTTTGGATTTTTTTTTTTTTTGGTATTGGGGATGAAACTCAGGACCTTGCACTTGTGAAACAGGTGCGGTGCCACTGAGCTAAATCCCTGGCCCTGTTTGGAATTTTTAATTCCAAACTTTTAGAGTCTTCAGAATAGTGGGCTATGTATAGGTGGTAGACATTATGGTTCTATTAGAACAATTGAAAGATTACACTATGACTGAATTGACTGCAAGGTGCTTTTTTGATAGAATTTAATAGGATGTGTAATATTGGGTCTGACCTCTCACAAAAAGATTTCATGAATTTTCAAGTTCACATGTATTCGCTATAGTGTTGATCATCATGCTAAGACTGTGACTAATTATCAAGTTTAATAATGAATTTGAAATGTGCCCAAACCATTTGAAATGTAAAAATTTCTTCTCTGAATCTATTCAAATAGAAAAGCATTTGAATGAGTTAATAGGTCCATGAAATTAATCTAGTTTACTGAGCCACTGAAAGAGGAACAAAATCCTTGAGTGGTACTCTCTCTAAAGAAAGATTGTGATTGTGGCTAAGGGCCATATACCCTGTGATTCTAAGGCAAACAAAAACACCAGGAAGTAAAAACAATTTCAAGTGACTCCTTACTCTTTGACATTTGGACAGGAAATCACTGAAAAGGTCAATGCATAATAACTGCATGTTCAAATATGATATTAAAAACCAAACAATTCTCTGAATAATTACAAGCAAAATTCCAATATTGGGGGGGTATTGTTTCCTTAATCATCCAGCTACTTCTTCAGCTGGATCATATTAGCTGGACAATTATTTAACTTTTTAATTTCTTGTCACTGCATGGAGAGAGCCTCTGGGGACCTATATGCAAGAACATTTACCTCAGAGGAAAAACTAATGTGCCTTGGGTCTTGCCACTGACAAATCACAATTTTGTTTCTAATTGAAAATTGATGCTTTATTAACAGATAGGAAAAGTTTCACAGTAACAATGCAGACTGCTCCAAAACAAGAGAAAAAGAAGTAAATATCCAGGAAGATATGCAATCCAACAGGCACTGGAAGAATTTCACACTTTTGAATACTCCTCGATTATTAATGTCACTTGCCTTCTAGGAAACAAATACTGCATTCTGCCCCTCTTTCTACTATTGACCTTCTTGAGTTCCAGGCTCATCACTGGAGCTCTTCCCTTCTCTTATCTATTTATACATTTCCCCCCAGATTAACACAGCTAGTCCTCTGGATTTGAATACCATACATATAATGATGGTTCCCAATCTGAATCCCCAGTCTTGACATCATTCAAAAACTTTAGGCACCCTGTGTCCAACTGTTTACTTGCCAGATGCACAATCCAAATGTCTTTTTGGCTCATTTCCCACATCAGCAAGCTATGTGGATTGCACAATTAATTTGGGGGAAATCTCTTCCTTCTCGCTGCCGTGGTACCAGCCGTACTATCTCTGGATTTCAATATAGTCTTCTTCTAACTTCTCTCCTTGCTCTCAATCTGCTGTCCTCCTCCCAGCCTGTTATTTCCTAGGAAGCCCCAATGACCCCTTTTAAAAGTGCATTAGACTCATGTAATGGCTTTCCATCACAATCAGAATCTAAAACACAGTTCTTCACATATCCGCAAGCCCTTTTACTATTTGGCCCCCAGATCACCTTCCCGTCCTCATTTTCTTTTCTTTTCCTTTTTTTTCTTTCATTCTCCCCCTTTCTCTCCGCTCTTTAAACACAGTGACTCAGAGCCTATGAACCTGGTAATTTCACTTCATGGATGCAGATTTTCCAGTCTTTGCTCCTTCATTTCATTCAGGTCTCTGCTCCTGTATCATTTCCATATAGAGATCTTTTTAATCATCTTCCAAAACAAACACCTCTCAACCTACTCTTCCACATCAGTTTCTATCCCTTTATCTCATGTTATTTTTTTATAGTATTTACCACTAACAACATTCTATTATTTTAATTTATTATCTATTGTGCCTACAAGATTGTAAGTTCCACAGGAACAGAGTTTGGATAGACAGGGTCTGCAGAGAACCACACAATAAATATTTGTTGAGTGAATAAATGAATTGTGCTCTACACAAGGAAACAAAGACTAATAATGTATGAAGTTTCCCTTAAAGAGTTTATAATGGAGTTGAAGAGGTGGGCTACCAATAAATAATATAAAGCAGTGTGACAGGTATACACAACAGAAAAATGGCAGCGTATACAAGGAAAGACAGTAAATGACCATGGAAAGATTAACTAAAGGCTGGATTTCAAGCCTTTTTGAACGTCTTGCTAAACATATTCCTAAGCTGTAACCATAATCTTCCTATATTTAAGTGGTGGAGTGAGTTTAATAGAATTTTTGAGCAATAATTTTTTTTTTTTACTGTTTGTTCTGTAAATCCTGGAGGTTTATGAGATCACTCCCACATGTTTCTTTATAATTCTATGAAGTAATGTTCTCATAATTATCACAAGTAGCTTGTGATGTTCTTCCAGAAAACCTTTCAATTCAAAAACAAAATTTGGGAGGTGGGGTAAAATCATGGCTGTAACATGTTTTTCTTCTTTAAGGAATTACGTTACAAAAATGTCACCAAAGGATGTTATTATTTCAAAGCAACAAGTAAGCAATACCGTCTTATCATATAGATATGAAATTAATTTCCTTTTTAAAATAAGCTGGGATGCTTTACCTCAAACCACAACAGAGGATTTGTGCCCATTTCCATTTGGACTTACTTCAGGGTATCTTCAGCCATAGACTTGCAAAATTATCCTGGACTATTCATAGATCATTTGCTGTTTTTAAGAGATATACTGACTCACAGAAACCAGAACGATAGAGAACTTTGAAGATTATCAGCAAAGTTTCTTTCTACTCACCCTGCTTCTTTCATATTCTTTCCTTGAGGCAGCAAAAAGCTGAGCATTAGATATGGCAATTCCACAAAATGGAAGATACATCTGCATGACCTGAGGCAGAGAGAGCATTGAGAATATTAAAATAAAACATCCATCACTGAATTGAACTCCACATTTCCTGCAAATATCTGATTGATATTTCAACCATAGGAATTGAAGTTGTTGATACTAGTATCTTAACCTCAGAAAGGATATTTTAAAAATTATAAGATGGTATAAATCAAATATTTATTGGGGCATTGGGTTTATATTTATAAAGGCATAAAGCAGCAGATTATGATAGTTATCATATAAGAACTGTGTCTAAAGTATTCCCACTTTGCTAAGAAATAAATGACTAAGTGAATGAATGGGGATATATCTAAAATTTAAGGCATGCACCCATATTCACACTTGGAGGCAGGCAGGATATAAGTCAATTCTTTGTACATGTTCATCTGTAGCAGAGAGCTCACTTCACCTGTTGGCTACCAGCTTGAAGCATGTCTGGAGGAAGGGGCTCAGTGGGGACAATAGGGCCAGAGGGCCCAGTAGCTTCTTCAGAAGAGCTCTAGTTTTGTCCATGCCTGGGTACATATAATTGGACATCAATGCAAGATGGATCTGCAGAAGCTTATTTAAGGAAAGCCTGGGGAGTCTCTAAGAGAGAATTCCTTCTTCCAGAGGAAACAATCAGTTGTGCCAGCATGATCCTAATGAGGACTTTCTCATAGCAGTGGGTCCGGGATTAGGAATTTTCAGGACAACCTGGCACTGTCACTCAAATTCATTTCTAGAATATCTGATTTCGGACATAAAAAATGCTCCAAGTAAAAGTTAAAGGAGGTATTTCTAAACTTCACAATGTAGAAGAAACAATTTCTTTAGGACATTTCTTTAGGAGTTCTTTAAGCAGAAAGCAAAGAGCATAGTTTATATCACAATCTGTCTGTCTCTCTGTTTTTGTCTCTGTCTTTGTCTTTTGTTTCTGTCTCTTGTCATACACACACTCACAAACACATAACACACATCCTGTGAGGAGATACAGAGCAAAGGTGACACTAAGCAGTTCTGCCTGTGCCCAGCAGAGGGTAGGGCACTGCTCCCTGAGGATGAGGATGCTGGCATGAGCCCAGCAGATCCCACACATGAGCATGTGCAAAAGATCCCTAAGGAACCAGAACAAAGTTACTTGAAGTGGAAGGTGATTTTGTAGAGGCTTTGAGGTAAATAAAAATGAAGGGCAATTCACACTCCTATCATTTCATTCCTATTAAAATCTTGCTTTGGTTATCTAGGCATGTTCACATCTGACCTGAAGTCCCTGAAGGAATTTCAGAGTCCCAAAGAAGTTAAAGCTATGGCCTCACTCTTGAAGAGGAGAGAGAAATAATGGGATTAGTACTAAGAAGAGGTACACAAATCAATGCGTTGATTTTTACAGATCTTTCCAGGATAAATTCCTTCCACACATTGCCTTCTGGAACCAGATGTCATGTCTTTTACTCCCTTCTCCTTCCTTGATACTCCTCTTTATACCTTAGTTTTTATAAGCCAGCTTGAAGCTAATGACATAAACCTGTGATATATTTCTCTAGAATTTCTCTGCCTTTAGCCAGAATGAGACAATTTTTATATTCCCTACACACAAAGCACTCTCCTTGCAGTTTTCTGTTTTCTGCTGTGAGGACACTGTCTATGATCACGGTAAAGGAGAGGAAGAAACATGGGTTAGTTATTTTAACTCTTCTGAGGCAAGAAATAGACAATGTGGGAAACATCCTGGCCTTAGGCTCACAGAAGACAGGATGCCTTTGGTTTTTCGAGACCACAGGAGCATCCAGTCCTAACCATATTTCCTTGACATCCTGGCATGAGCCTAAAGAGATACGGCCCAGCCCTCACTATACTTCCTCGCTATCCATCATGAGCCTAAGAAATATGCTCCTTCCCTGATCACACTTCCTTGACATCTGACATGAGCCCCAGAGGCATATCTCTAACTGCTTTAGAGTAACCAAGGGTAACCCCACAGTCATTGTAATAGCATTAGCATTACTGTTTTGACACTCCCTGGTGGGCTTTGCAGCCATGCTCGTTCTATGTAGGCCCTTATAAATTCACAACTCCCCCTCCTCCCATGACCACAGTTAAATGGAAAGAAGTCCAGTTAGTCACCACCCTGACCACTCCTCAAATTTAGGAAAACAAAGGAAAAGCCAATTCTGGAACTCACTGAGTTGCCATCGCTGCGCTCTGCCCCTCCCCCATTCATTACTGGCATTGCCATCTCTCTCAGGTGTACTTTCTCCTCAAACTTAAAACAGATGGGCCGTTCTGGTCAAGCTCACTCTTGAGCTTTCTCATCTGCCAGCTCCTGCTCTGTGGAGTGTACTTTCCCTTTTAATAAATCTCTGCCTTTCTTACTACTTTTGGGTGTCTTGCTCAATTCTTTCTTCAGGATACAAACAGCCTGGATAGTGAATGACACTAATAACACCATCACTTACCTACAAAATATTTTTGCCTTCAGGGGGTAAGTCTAAAGTGGTTTATAAGTCAAGCATGTAAGAAAACTGAGACCAAATTAACATATAAAATGTTTTCTAATACATCACAGAGTTTCTTCAGTTATTTGGTGATACAGTATGGATTGAGCTATACCAGGCATTGTGTGTAATCTAAAAGAGTCAGAATTTTAAATCAGTTGGATTTTGTTCTTTTTATGGCTTTTCTGTGTGTAATTCAGTAAGTCAAATAACTTCTTTGAACTTATTTCCTTATCTGTAAATGCTAGGTTTGTGGTCTTTTTTAGTTCTAATACGTTGTGATCCAAATAATTAGAAATATCAGTGAGATGCAATGTTCTACTTGCTAGAAGAAACAAAGGATGTTTATGGCAATCTCTTATAACAGTGATTGACACTAACAATTCCTTTTTATCAGTGACAGGCATGGTTCTAGGCATCAGGCATGATGTAAAGAATTTTATATGTACTATATTCATTTGATTCTCACAGTTATGTACACCACACCACTAATTCCATGTCTAAAATGATAAAACTGATGCTTTGAGAACGTACACAAATTATTGGGAGATAATTCTTTATAAGTCTCATGTTTCTGTATATCTTGCAAACAGAAGCACTAAAAAAATAAGCACCCCTTTCATAGGTGTTTGTACAGTGACTAGCCTTGAAAGGGGGAGATACTATGTATCTCCAGAGCAAAGAGCAAAATTGTTTACTGTCCAATATAATAAAAATAATGTCTCCTTCCAGGGAGATGTCAAGAAGAATCATAGTCCACTCTAAAATTCTTGGGATCCTTGCATTTGAGGTTCAGCTCATGAAATGCAATGCACTGTGTATGCTGTTATCAGGGTCAGGGAATCAGCACAAATATTGATACTTCGGCTATTAGTATTGCTGTGAGTAATAAACTGCCCTATGTCACTGACCCAGGAGTCTCATGTCTTCTGCCAGCATCCATGAAACTGAGTCAAGACTAACTTGCCACTTATTAAGTATAGTAAAATCTTAGACTTTTCATAGTTCTTGACAAGGTTACCTAGATAATAAGAGGTGAATATGAATTTTTGAATCCTTTTAGCCTAACCTAGAATCTACCTTCCTTATTTCTACATTTACTTGCCTCTCAAAGTAATATATTAGTGTGATGGCCCAGTTGACTACATGGTAAGAGACTGCTGGGACTATAAATAGACTCTTTCACTGTATAAGCAACCCTAAGAGACTCAGAACAAAAAGTTCTTATACAGCAGACATAACCTGGTTTCTAGAGATAAGAAGTCCTTAGGGGGTGACCTGCCCAGCAGCTGGTTAAAGCATATTTTAAATAGGGAGGGACCACACCAGCAGGCATCAGAGTGTGATAACGGGCCAAAGAAAAATATTCAGGTAGAAAAGAAGCTGGCTTTAGGACATGCTGTCAGCAGGTAGCAGGGATCCAGGGGATTTAAGAATCAGATTACACATGTGGAAGGGAGAGAAGGAGCAGAAGAAAGGATGGCACCTGACTGAGTATTAATGTGGGTCCTGTGGTGTGGCTCCAGCTGTAGAACAGGAAATTAGTTGGAGGCTGGGACCCACACTGTGTAGTGGCTCAGTCTTAGGGAGCACTTCAGTGTCCCCAAGAGCTCGAGGACAGTTAAGGGCAAATCTTTTCATGCTCATCTAATTTTGTTTCTGGTAAGACTACTTTTTAATCCAAAAATTTGAATTTACAACTAATTTTCCAAACAGTATAAACTTTTTTGTGTGTAGACAGTACAGCGTCCTCTCAAGAGTACCCCAGATTAGTAGGATTTGTTCTTTATAATCTGCCCTACTCTGTCTGCCAAAGTTCCTTTAATTCCATCCTGAGAGATGAGTGGTACTGTCACAACCTTAGGAAAAGCCACTCCACAATCTTCCTCCATTTTAAATGTCTAACAAATGTCACTTTCATGAAATTTTCTCATATAAATGTAACAAACTCCTCATATCTCAATGTAATTCCAATTCTTATTCTTCTGTGGGAAAAAAGGACAACAAAAATTCTGCTAATTAAAGCCAATTATGAAGCATTTTATATGACATTTTGAATGGCAAAAGAGACTCATGCTGTCTTACTTTGTGTACTCTAATTTATCAAGTTAATGCTTCCACAGCAGCATCCTAACAAAAACAAAGTAACATCCTACTCATTGTACTTGGAACATTACAGATCAGTTCAATTTAGCAAAATCTGTCTGGCTGCCTTCTCCTGTCAAACACTGGGAAACAATATAGCATGTACAATAAATTACATGACACCATTTCTAGTCTCACATTTACCACTAGCTTTAATTATATCCATGAGATGATTACTAACTAGCTCAATTTCCTTCAATCGTTGCACAGAAAATAAAGGTTAACACGCAAATCTGGAGTTAAAGACCTTTAAAGATTTGGCCCTGGCTATGTCTCTTAGTCTACCCAGTATGTTTCACAAAAATTAGGGAAGTCTGTCAATTTAGTCCCCCCAAAATAACCTATATTCCACTGTATATTTACTATCTGCATTTCATG